GTCGGCGTTTGCATTCGTGTCCCGATGATGTCCGTACGGCTCGGCAGCGCGTTTGGTTTGGAGGACAACAGCACAACCATAAACATCGACACCAGAAAATAAGCCCATAAAAGAGAAATTACACGCAGACAGTCAGGAAAGCACATGGCCGGCGCTCCAGCAATAAAAGGCGAGGGACCGAACGAACTCGGAGGCCGGCGGGAAATGGGGAGGATCTGATCTCCGTTCAGGCCGTTTTTTATGCAAAATGAAAATTTCGGATCAGTGTTCTCGTGTTACTTGTTTTGCGAGATGTTGGTTTAAATGGAGGGGCTGGTTGTGTTGGGTGGTGATGGTGATGGTGATGGTGACTGTGATGACAGTAATAAAAATGATGATCATGGTGTGTGTGTGAGTGGGTGTGTGCGCTCGCGTGTGTTTATGTTTATTCATTTTTACGTTTTATGTTTATGTATGTGGGTTCGTTTTCTATCAGGTCGATTGAAATTCGTCACATTCTTGTTTTTGCCTGGTTAATGTGTGCGAACTTTCGCGATTCATCCAGTGGCACTTATGTCCAGGTTATACAATCGGTTAAGAGAAAGTTTAATGTTTTATTACATTTATTATTACCTATGTAACTGTTGTTACTACTATCTAACCGGTGGAAAGCAAACATTTCGTTAAACCTTTATTATTACCCATTTCCAGGCACAGAAACATTAGACGGCGATTTGATGTTCTCATAAAAAGTGACCCAGTGTTAGCCGGTCTCTCAGCCAGTGAATGCTGTTCCTTGTGAGTCTCCGCGACCGGAGGGCTGAGCCACTTGCACGAGACTTCTTCAGGATGATCCCTTGTGAACGAGTTGACGGGCGCGTTTCCCATACTATATAGTGCATGAGATTTTATTATCCGTGGTACTAAGTATTGCTAGTTGTAGTGTTACTTTGATTTAGTGAAAGTGAGTATAAGAATATAGTTGGAACGGCGCCATGACGACGGCGGAAGCCCTGAAGCACGAGCTTGAGGTTGTGGCGGGGCTGAGAGAAGAGGGCACGGAGGATGATGATGAGGATCCTACGGAAGGGACGCCGGGAAGAAAGGACCCCCCCATAGTGGTGGTGGAAGACGTGGAGGGAACCCCCTGGCACGCCCCACCGCTGGTCAGCGTAACTAACTGGGGGACACCGAGCGGGCCCTCAAGCGGGACCTGTTCGCCTCACTCGCGCTCGCCATCGCTGGGGTCCCTCTGGTCTGAGGCGTCCCTGAGCGACGACGCAGGCTCCATTTCGTACAGCCCTAAAATTCCCAAAGGCCCCCGCCAGAGGGCTCGCCACGCCTCGTCCTCTTTCACGCAGGACACGGGCAAGCAGAACCCCGAAGTTACGCGCCTTTGTTCCTCACAGGAACTCCTCGCCACCGAGATCATCCCCCCCAAACACAAGCACTCTCTCAAGACTATGTTCCTTGATGTATTCCACCCGGAGTCCAGCAGAAGAACGAGGTCGGCTTCCAGTGGAGAGGTAAGGCGTAGGTCGCCCTCGACAGGCGACTCGAAGATGAGAAAACTCATTTCGAAATTTCGGTCCCGCTCACAAAGCGACCTCTTGGACGTTAAGAGCCGCAGGAGTTTCGAGGGCAGCATCAACGTGGGTTCTCACGTCAGCCTCAATCCAGGAGAGTCGGCGGCGGGAGAGGAGGGAGAGGGTGTCCCACCCACGGCCATCAACACCCGCCTTGTCGGTCGCTTCCGCAAGCACTCCAATGCCAACAAACGCCGATGGAGCGTCTTCGAGCAACACATTTTGAAAAGTCGAGGTCAGCGCCATGACCACGCCCATGACGGGTCTTCAAACCCTGCAACTTCCGACAGCGAAGGCGAGGGTCAAGAGGGCTGCGTCATCTCCCTCGATGACCCATCGGGAGAATCCACAACGGAGTATTCAAAGGCTTCCACCAAAATCCAGCTCGAAGGCGGAGTTCCACCCGATCCTGTCCGCCATGCCAAGCAACGCTTGGGGAGGACTCGCTCAAACTCGGACTCAAGGATCAATGTATTGGAGAAGAAACAGCGGCGGAGGCGCGGTAGTGGCCTCGCCTTTGCGAAGGAGTACAAGGTAATCGACAGACTCATAGACTTCCACAAGCGAAACAAGCACCGCGGAAGCCTCCCGTCTTTGGCAATCGAGGTACAGAGGCAGAAGCACCTGCAGAAGCTGCAGGACCTTCCCGACGGCCAATCCCAGAAGAAAACTCAAGGTCCCAAAGCGTCCAATGGATCCATTCCCAACGGCAGCATCACCGACCCTCTTGCTTCACGTGCCCAGTCCTTCCATAATCTCACGGACTTCGCCGTGGAGGATTACTTTAGCTCAGACAATGAACGCCACCTTTCTGGCGATGACGCCGACGCGCCTGGGGGCGCAGGACCAAGGAACCTCTCTCCTTACTATGGCGAGGAGGGAAACCGCGCCCGTCGCCACCGCTTCTCCATTGATCACATTTGGAATGTTTTCCG